AATTTTTCCTTGTTCGTTGGCCGGCCATACTAGTCCTACGCGAACGTTCCATGAAAACGCTTGTTTTGAATCCGCAGATTCATCGCCAGGGAGCCGTGCGAATCCGCCGTGTGCTGAACAGTTCGTATTCGGTGGTGGTATATGGTGGCCTCACTGTAAGTCAATTGTATTCAGAATATATTGCTCAGGTGTGTGGTGAAAATATTACATCAAGAGTCGAATTGAAATGTCTACATTTGTTTGTGTATTTGCATATAAATGTATATATAACTTATCAATCTATATGTATACGTGTATATCTATATGCAAATATACATAATGTATATATGTATATGTCCATGTATTATATGTATATATATAAATGTGTGTGTGTGAGTGTGTACACGCATGTGTTTTTATAGAATTGTAGTAAAGAGACAGGTAAATAAATAAGTATCGAAAGGGATCAATTTTAGTCTTTATTGCAAGCTCAGAGGCAGGTTTTCAGTTCTAGTCAGTCACACTTTGCACGAGATTCCAGCCTTTGACTCTTGACAGCTAATCTCTGCTCAGGGAAAGGGAATCACAGTTGCATTTCCTCATGGTTGTGGTTGTGAATTAGAATGTGTAATGGTTGAATGATTGTTCAAGATGAGAAAGGGAACATCAAGTAAATTCATTGAAGACAATTGCTTATATAAAATGAGTGATGGGTGAGTATAAAATGAGTGATGTGAGGTTTTATCTAGCATGAGAAGACGGTGTCGAGCATGACGAAGAGATCCTCCCTTGAAAGGACACACTTGTCGAATCGGACGCTGCACGCCTTGGGGTCGTCCTTGGCGAGGGCGATGGCCTGGTCGTACTCGATGCGGGAGGACTTGAGGTTGTCGGGATTCTCGAAGGCCGTCTTGAAGGTGGACATGGATGGGGTGAGGCTGTCGGCGGGCGTCGCCTCGATCTCGCACAGCAACTTGGCGATGCAGCCGGCCGAATCCAGTTCCTTGGCGACGGCCACCTTTGGAGGAAGAAATATATGGGATTAGATACACTCCGCGCAGTGCGTAAATATTAATTGTGTTCGTGAAAGAACGATTTAGTTATATATTTTGTCCATTTCATGCTAACAGCTTGAGGTATGAACCGTCTTAACATCTTCAGTACATACCTCAACTTCATCGTCGATCTCCATAGAATCGACGTCCCTCCTGTAACGGCGCTTGAGATGCTTCCGATAAGAACTCCCTTGAGCACTGCCAGGGCGCCACGCCCAAAGCTGCCGCTGCAGAAGCAGTGACAGTGGTAGCGGCGATGGTCCCGGCTGCGGCGGTGGTTCCCAAGAGGATGAGAGACTCGGAGGAGGCCCAGAGGCCGCACAGGAGGAGAGCGACGAACACGCGAGAGTTCATGGTTATATTGTGGTTGAAGCTGAAGAAAGAATTTAGTGGTTAAAAAAATATAATATATATATATATATATATATATATATATATATAATATGTAAGAAAATATTTTATGTAAAAATTATCATTAAGATAGTACAAGTCCATGATCGGTATTTACATATCACCATCGACACTAAAAGAAGTAACAGAGATATTTCTAAAAAGTGGTCCACTGGTCCCCCCGTACCTGCTTGTGTTCCGGCAAGGGCGCACAGGATTCTGACGGCGATCCTTGCGCCTCTCCCCGTATTTATGGTGCTGGGAAGTACCTGCGGAAGGTGAAGGACCTCGTCCCCCCTGATGGGGGAATTGGGTAAGTTCACCCACTTAATGTTATCCTGGTGTGTGTGAATACCATATACGGAAGAGCTTTTCGCTATTTTTTTCTTATGATTAGGTAAAAAGCACATCTATTTTGGAAACGTGTCCCAAGACGTTTGATTTCCACAAGATAATTTCACAGCAAATAAATGCTTATATATAGTTTTAGAGCCTGTATCTTATATTGGCTTACAATGCATTTTTTCACTTCCATAACTTGTATCCTGGAGGACTACGAACTTACAGCCAGTGTATTATTTGTGCTATTGATTTCAAAGGATATAAGTGAAAGGAAATCAGCATAGCTGAAGCTTCGGCATTACCTGCCCATGCCAAATAAGTCCTAGGACAAAGGGGATTTTTGGACGTTTTCTCAGGGTAAAAACACGGAAAACAAGGTATTGTAACGATTGCCATAGAACTTGGCATGGGTGCACACGCATGTATATATCGTATATATATATTATATATATATATATATATATATATATATATATATATACACATATATATATATATACATACATACATACATACATATATATATATATATATATATATATATATATATATATATATACACACGCACATATATATATATATGGACATATATCTATATGTATATATATGAGTATATTATATTCACTAATGACGTAGTGGCGATATTCCCAACGTTTTCTATATGTATCATGATAATGTTACCAATAGCGATAACGATAATTATAATGATAGTGATAATGATAAAGATAATGATTATGATAACAACTGTAATGAAAATGGTAGTAATGGTAGTGATAACGATGATAATAACTTTAATGACAAAAGAAATAATAATAATCGTAATGATAAAGAGGTGAATCATATTAGTAATAGCATCAATAATGTTGATAAAATTGATAATAATGTTGATAACATAGAAAATGTTAATAATATGATGATAATGTTGTGTTAATACTATTAATGATAATGGTATTGATATTAATGCAATAATGACAATAAAGATGATAATGATAGTATAATCTAACATGGCCTCACTCTTTATATATATTTATACATGTCCGTGTGTGCGTGCGAGCGCGCGTGTGTATATGTACATATTGTTATATATGCATGTGTACATGCATATATATCTCTACCTATCTACACAGCATGTGTATTTCCGTCCACTTTGGTTCTCTCTAAACAAAAGATTTCCCGAAAGGTCGTTCACGTATTACTTTGTCGTAGAACTCATCCGCAGATTTGCAGCTGTCTTTTATATCTCCTTTGGCCGGCTGGTCTGCTGAGGTTAGCTGTCTCGGCAACCTAGCTAATCGCCTGCTGTTGTCGCCATGTGAAAAAGGAAAATGGAGTTTGAGAACTTATAAAGTAGGCATATATATAATGTTATATATATATTTATATAACATTAAATATATGTGTATATATATAGATAGATAGATAGGTATATATGTATAGTATATCCAGTATTGATGTAGTTTCGATATTTCCGACTTTTTGTATGTATTATGATGATAATATCAGTTATGATATCGGTAATTATAATGGTAGTGATAGTGATAAAGATGACAATAATGATAACTACATTGAGAATGGTAGTAATGCTAATAATAATAGCGATAATGATGATCATAAAAACTATAAGAATTATAGTAATAATGGTAATGATAATGATGTGAATTATGTTAATAATACTTATGATACAAATTATCAATAGCATTAATGGCGTTAATGATATATATAATGTTAATAATTTTTATAGCGATAATGGTACTGGTGATTATAATGACAATGATGATAAGATAATGTTTATAATGATAGAATCTGGGATCTCCCTCCATCGAATGCTTTTAACATGGAATAAAAAGCTCACCATATATATATATATATATATTATATATATATATATATATATATATATATATATTGATATGCATGCGTGTGCATGTATGTGCGTGTTTATGCATATGTACATATGCATAACACTCTAAAACTTCTCTATAAACTCTAAAGATTTCCCAAAAGGTTGTAACGTTTTACTTTGTTATAGGACTCATCCATATATCTGCAGATGTGTGCCTATTTTCTCTCCTTGCCCGGCTGGTCTGCTGAAGTTAGTTGTCTCAGCAACCTAGCAATCGGCTGCTGTTGTCGCCATGTGAAAAAATTAAAATGGGGATTTCCGAAGTTATGAAATAGGTGTGTCTATGATGTAATCCGAAGGATATTAAACGAAAAGTGGCCAGCATGAAATGGCCAAAAACATCCATCCCCTGGGAAATGAACTGTGAACAAAATCAAAGAATCGATAGAGATGTTCTATATGTGCGCACACATTTATACATGCATACACATTCAAAAATGTATATAAATAGATAGGTAGACATATATTTTATATATTCCATTACTTATATGCGTATTTAGCGAAGGATTGGAAAATAAATGTAATTTTTCGGAGAAATATGATTTATTTCACTTGATGGTGAGAAAGAATGAATAGCGTTATGAACACTGCAGATATTCACTGTGACTCTCAGGTCCAGTCAGTGACAGTCTGAAAGCTACCTTCGGTCACAGTGACGACTCCGATCCACTCAGTCTGCCTGCGTGTATGCTTGGTGATGGTGTGATTGTGAGGTGCTTAGTGTAAGAATGCGGTGCTCATGACTAGCATGAGAAGGTGGAATCCAGCATGAAGGAGAGATCGTCCCTGGAGAGGACGCACTTGTCGAAGAGGGCGCTGCAGGCCTTGGCGTCTTTCTTGGCGAACTTGGAGCCGAAGGTGATGGCCAGGTCGTAGACGCCTCGGGATCCCTTGAGGTTGCTGTTGTTGTCGAAGGCGGTCTTGAAGGTGGACATGGCTGGCGTGAGCTGGTCAGCGGACATGGCCTCGATTTCGCACAAGAGCTTGGCCACGCAACCAGCAGAGTCCATCTTCTGGGCCACAGCAATCTGTTGGAGTGAAAAGAATATTAGTAAAGTCCAGAATTCCTTTATGCTTTCAACATATACATAATTGCACAATTAAATTGTGAATGTAATTGATATAAGCGTTAACTTACTTCTGTTGCAACGTCCTCCTCCATGGAATCGACGTCCCTCCTGTAACGGCGCTTCAGATGCTTCCCGATAAGAACTCCTTGAGCACTGCCAGGGCGCCCACGCCCAAAGCTGCCGCTGCAGAAGCAGTGACAGTGGTAGCGGCGATGGTCCCAGCTGCGGCGGTGGTTCCCAAGAGGATGAAAGACTCGGAGGAGGCCCAGAGGCCGCACAGGAGGAGAGCGACAAACACGCGAGAATTCATGATGGTGGCGGAGTCTGTGAGGAGAAAAGTTGACAGTGAGGCTACGCAGAAAGCTAAAATCGTCAGAAGTCGACGACCTGAGACATATTCAAGAGTCTTACAGGAAACAATTTCAGAAGAACCAGAAAAAGAGGATCTTTGTCCCTTACCTGCTTGTGTTCTGGAGCAGTGAGAGGACGAGTGTGATGCGGTTCCTGCAGAGCGCGATATTTATAGCGAGTGGACGGAGGCAAGGGGTGGGACCTGATCCTGGGTGAGAGGGAAAGCGAACGTATCCTATGGTGCAGGTAAGGCCTATTGACGTTAAATTAGTATAGTATTTCAATCCTTACGTACGTGCTTCCTCAACGCACAAATGTGCTTGTATCTGCTTCTCTGAACGTTCGTTACAAGACATCGCTTTATATATTTGTATGCACATTAAATCCACAGACGCACGTGTGTGTGTGTATATATATATATATATATATATATATATATATATATATGTATATAGATAGCTGTTAGATGGATTTACACAACATACATACAACACACACATATATATGTGTGTGTGTACGTGCACATATATACATACATACACATGTGTATACATATGTATGCATACATATATACAATTACATATACACACACATATGTAAGTGTATAAGTGTATACAGGTATATGTATATACATATACGTACAGATCTTTATATCTTTATTAGCGTACGTACTTGTATATATAAATGTATATATATACATATATATACATGTATATGTGTCTCTGTGTTTGTATATGTTAATATATACACACAAATTTATATAGAAAAGTATATATATGCCTTTCTGAACGTGCTTTTCAAAAGGAAATTATATGTATGCTTATACTTATGTATTTTGTTGATACGTAATATATATTATATATATATATATATATATTTTTTTTTGTCAACCTGCCTGTCTATTTATCTAAATCATGTAAATTACTAATACATCAGTACACAAAGACACATGTATATATACGCATTTATATATACTGATTTATATATATAAATCCCTTTCTCTCTCTATATATATCTATATATAATATACACACACATGTGTATGTGCAAAAGAATTATGAAGTATTCTCGTATCACTTCATACTCTAAGGCCACAGCATTTTTTTTTTCTTGAATAGGGCCGCCGACATTTATTTCCAAGAAAAAAAAAAAAAAGAAAATCCCGATTATTTTTTTCAAATTTCCCGCCGATATTGTGACGTCCGCGAAAGAAATAGCAAATGAATAAATATAAATAAATTTGTCTATGATTCATTGTGTATGGCATCGTTCTCCCGTCCCAAAACAAAAATAAAATATATTTGGTGGAAATACCTTACTCTCATGCGTCATGCCATGTCTGTTGTCTATCGTGCCCGTGGTCGGTGGTCGCTTCTGATCAGTACTGGCGTATTTCGCATTATGTTGAATTTCATTTCATATCCTTTTCCTACCTGTACAAAATGGAAATATATATATATATATATATATATATATATATATATATATATATATATATATATGTCGATTTTTTTTCCAAAATAATAAATTCTGGTTGAAAGAATTCTTAGTTTGTATTCAACTCCTAGAAGACTTGCAGTAAGGCAGAATTGTACTTCCTCCAGGTGGGGCTGGAACTGATACATTCCTTTACTTCTGATCTTTGGAAGGTAGGAGGTACACTTGTCTTATTTTGGTGCTGGGGATTTTTTTCCCTCCCGCCAATATTTCATCATCACCAGACTTGCCCGCTATTCAGAAAAAAAATTGCTGTGGCCTAAGCTATGTTTATGAATAATTCAATTTCATTTATAGGATTGCTCTAATGAGTAATTTCCTAGTTCGTTAGCCGGCCATACTAGTCCTACGCGAACGTTCTATGAAAACGCATCCGCAGATTCATCGCCAGGGAGCCGTGCGAATCCGCCGTGTGCTGAACAGTTCGTATTGGTGGTATATGGTGGCCTCACTGTAAGTCAATTGTATTCAGAATATATTGCTCAGGTGTGTGGTGAAAATATTACATCAAGAGTCGAATTGAAATGTCTACATTTGTTTGTGTATTTGCATATAAATGTATATATAACTTATCAATCTATATGTATACGTGTATATCTATATGCAAATATACATAATGTATATATGTATATGTCCATGTATTATATGTATATATATAAATGTGTGTGTGTGAGTGTGTACACGCATGTGTTTTTATAGAATTGTAGTAAAGAGACAGGTTTATAAATAAGTATCGAAAGGGATCAATTTTAGTCTTTATTGCAAGCTCAGAGGCAGGTTTTCAGTTCTAGTCAGTCACACTTTGCACGAGATTCCAGCCTTTGACTCTTGACAGCTAATCTCTGCTCAGGGAAAGGGAATCACAGTTGCATTTCCTCATGGTTGTGGATGTGAATTAGAATGTGTAATGGTTGAATGATTGTTCAAGATGAGAAAGGAACATCAAGTAAATTCATTGATTATAATTGTGATTGAGTATAAAATGAGTGATGTGAGGTTTTATCTAGCATGAGAAGACGGTGTCGAGCATGACGAAGAGATCCTCCCTTGAAAGGACACACTTGTCGAATCGGACGCTGCACGCCTTGGGGTCGTCCTTGGCGAGGGCGATGGCCTGGTCGTACTCGATGCGGGAGGACTTGAGGTTGTCGGGATTCTCGAAGGCCGTCTTGAAGGTGGACATGGATGGTGAGGCTGTGGGCGTCGCCTCGATCTCGCACAGCAACTTGGCGATGCAGCCGGCCGAATCCAGTTCCTTGGCGACGGCCACCTTTGGAGGAAATATATGGGATTAGATACACTCCGCGCAGTGCGTAAATATTGATTGTGTTCGTGAAAGAACGATTTAGTTATATATTTTGTCCATTTCATGCTAACAGCTTGAGGTATGAACCGTCTTAACATCTTCAGTACATACCTCAACTTCATCGTCGATCTCCATAGAATCGACGTCCCTCCTGTAACGGCGCTTGAGATGCTTCCCGATAAGAACTCCCTTGAGCACTGCCAGGGCGCCCACGCCCAAAGCTGCCGCTGCAGAAGCAGTGACAGTGGTAGCGGCGATGGTCCCGGCTGCGGCGGTGGTTCCCAAGAGGATGAGAGACTCGGAGGAGGCCCAGAGGCCGCACAGGAGGAGAGCGACGAACACGCGAGAGTTCATGGTTATATTGTGGTTGAAGCTGAAGAAAGAATTTAGTGGTTTAAAAAAAGATATATATATATATATAGAATATATATATATATATATATATATATATATATGTAAGAAAATATTTTATGTCGATAAAATGTTATCATTAAGAGTACAGTCCATGATCGGTATTTACATATCACCATCGACACTAAAAGAAGTAACAGAGATATTTCTAAAAAGTGGTCCACTGTCCGCCCCCGTACCTGCTTGTGTTCCGGCAAGGGCGCACAGGATTCTGACGGCGATCCTTGCGCCTCTCCCCGTATTTATGGCGCTGGGAAGTACCTGCGGAAGGTGAAGGACCCCCTGATGGGGGAAATCGGGTAAGTTCACCCACTTAATGTTATCCTGGTGTGTGTGAATACCATATACGGAAGAGCTTTTCGCTATTTTTTTCTTATGATTAGATAAAAAGCACATCTATTTTGGAAACGTGTCCCAAGACGTTTGATTTCCACAAGATATAATTTTCACAGCAAATAAATGCTTATATATAGTTTTAGAGCCTGTATCTTATATTGGCTTACAATGCATTTTTTCACTTCCATAACTTGTATCCTGGAGGACTACGAACTTACAGCCAGTGTATTATTTGTGCTATTGATTTCAAAGGATATAAGTGAAAGGAAATCAGCATAGCTGAACCTTCGGCATTACCTGCCCATGCCAAATAAGTCCTAGGACAAAGGCGATTTTTGGACGATTTCTCAGGGTAAAAACACGGAAAACAAGGTATTGTAACGATTGCCATAGAACTTGGCATGGGTGCACACGCATGTATATATCGTATATATATATATATATATATATATATATATATATATATATATATATATATATATATATATATATATATATACATACATACATATATATACACACACGCACATATATATATGGACATATATCTATATGTATATATATGAGTATATTATATTCACTAATGACGTAGTGGCGATATTCCCAACGTTTTCTATATGTATCATGATAATGTTACCAATAGCGATAACGATAATTATAATGATAGTGATAATGATAAAGATAATGATTATGATAACAACTGTAATGAAAATGGTAGTAATGGTAGTGATAACGATGATAATAACTTTAATGACAAAAGAAATAATAATCGTAATGATAAAGAGGTGAATCATATTAGTAATAGCATCAATAATGTTGATAAAATTGATAATGTTAATGTTGATAACATAGAAAATGTTAATAATATGATGATAATGTTGTGTTAATAATATGATGTTAATAATGTTGTGTTAATACTATTAATGATAATGGTATTGATATTAATGCAATAATGACAATAAAGATGATGATAATGATAATATAATCTAACATGGCCTCACTCTTTATATATATATTTATACATGTCCGTGTGTGCGTGCGAGCGCGCGTGTGTATATGTATATATTTTTATATATATGCATGTGTACATGCATATATATCTCTACCTATCTACACAGCATGTGTATTTCCGTCCACTTTGGTTCTCTCAAAACAAAAGATTTCCCGAAAGGTCGTTCAGGTATTACTTTGTCGTACTCATCCGCAGATTTGCAGCTGTCTTTTATATCTCCTTTGGCC